ATACTGAAATTGTTTAATCATCAATTGTTGCTGCTGTCTTTCTGCTGCTACCACATTTTAATTCCAGTATGTTCTTAGTTGAAGAAATACAGTAACTCTGAAGAAAAACCATTAAAATATTACTATAAGTGGTCCAATTATTATGATCAGTTGGGTTATGCAGTGCTTCTGATTTGACTCAAAGTGCTTCAGAGCAAGCTAGGATATAAACATAACACCTCTCTGTAACTTTTTCAAGTAGCCGTTCCTGTTCCTGAAATTATAAAAAAATCTGGGGAAAGATGTAGCTGTTCTACATGGTATAGCTAGATTTGTGTCCCTATTTCTGAAGCAGAACTGGAACTGAATCTGAAATGTCACACTGTTGTAGTAAATTCAGATGCTATATCTGCTTAGGATATAATAATATCTTATGATCACTGATCTGTTTAGCTATGAGAAGGAAATAATCACAATGAGCATCAGGCGTGTGTTACTTAGAGGTTTACTCTGGAAAATATATATTTCGAACCATAAACTTTAGAAGCAGATGAGTTTTGGAGGGGAGAGAGAATAAACTCCAGAAGGGGGCATCAAAACCAACAGCAGGTTCAGAAGAGACTTGTTTGCTGAAAAGTTTCCATTTTGGATGTTTCAAACAACAACAACAAAAAAGGAAATTCTTATTTATTTGTTATACAAGGAATGCTACATTTCTGCAGCTTTATTTCAAGTGATGGAAATGTATTACTTCAGTGGTCTTCATGAGAAGAATGAGCCAGATTGCTCTCTGGCACTACTGTGTTTGATTTACTGGTCTTTGGTACAGCACTGTCTTCCTTTCTTCGGTACTCAGCTACTTCTGGCCAGCTAGGGGACAAATGATAGAGAAGTGAGGTTACTTGGCTGATTTTTAGCAGGGAAAAGAGAGAGACTGAAGGGCTGCTATTTAATCACAGGCCTAAGTAGCCAGGATGTATCTTTTTTTAATCTTGCCTTTTCCTTTCCCACTTTGTTATTCAAGTACATAGGGAAGAATGGGAGTGTTCTCTGTGCTTTCTAGTTCCTTTATCCATGATCTCTCATACGTTCTGCTGTCATGGTTGAGAAGCATTGGGGGCCATTGATAAAGTATGTGTGCATATGTGTAAGAGGTTAAGGGGCTGGCTTAGAAACCTCTGAATTCTAGTCCTGCCTTAGTCTTGAAAGCCAGCTTGGAGACATTGGACCAGTCACTCTTTTTCAGCCCAACTGACCTCACAAGGATGTTGTGGGGAAAATTGGAGCAGGAAGGAGTACAATGAATGTTGACTCAGATTTATTCTCAGTTTGGGGACCAAGTGGGGTATAGGTCCTTTGGAGATGCCTGGGGATTCGAAATGGTCACTGTTTGATGCTGTTGAACCTGAGGAAATGGAGACGGTCCTTGGGACTGTAGGTGCAGCCATCTGTGAATTTAGATGTTTATATATCAAACTTCTTAACCTGCGATCTTCCTCGCAGATCTTGGGTGAGATGGTTTATCTGGACCCCTTCTAGTCTGGTTTTAGGTTCAGATATAAGATGGGATACAAATGGCATTGGTTGCACTTTTGAATGACCTCTGGTGGGAGTGGGATGAAGGGAGTGTTTTGGGAGTGCCCAGAGTTGGTTGTAAGGTGGGTATATATAAATGTTTTAAACAAACAAATAGGTAACATACATACATACATACATACATACATACATACATACATACATACATACATTGATAGTCCCAAGCAGAGTGCAGTAGTCCATAGGGGAGATGACCAGGGCATGAATGACTGAAAGAACAGCCTCTCTATCCTGGAAGGGGCATAACGGGTACATAGCATGAAGTTGAGCAAAGGCCTTCCTAGCTATGACTTCATGTTATGTTGAACATTTCTGTTAATAAAAATAGGACAGTTACAGGTTATCTTTCAATTATCATTCAGTTTGGCCTGAGGCATTAAACACATCATTTTTATAACTCAAATAATCAATTCAAAAATTCTGGATGATTTATCTAGGAATCAGATTCGATATAATGGGGATCAGAATAGACACCCTCAGGGCTCTATAAGTCATAGGTTTATATATTCAATACCACATTCTGAGAATGTGCTTCTCTAAATCATGTCGAGATAATTTCAGCAAAATAATTCAGAAAGATATTATGAAGATGAAATCACTGATAATTACCAAAATATCAAGCAAAACCAACTGGATCACCTTCTTCTAGTTTGGCCCTGAGGAGAAAAACATGTTATGTAATCAGGCAGTTTGCAATAGATCAAGATAATTGACTTCTTTTAGGAATGATTGAATTTGAGTTGCTGCTATATAGTTTAGGAACTTGCCCCATTGTGAAATATTAGAAAAATCTGACAGCTATCTAGCGAGGATTATGGTGTTGGGATTATGTTGAGTTGAGCAGGATACCATGTGACCTCATGATGAAGGTTGAGGTAAAGATGTTTGCCACCCACATTTTTGACATTAGATTTATTCAGTAGAAATTCATTATCTTAAAGTTCCTTTTTCGAAAGAAAAAAAATTATATGATCGCTGGCATTTTGTTTTTTTGAGTTCCAATTTTGCTTTTGCTTTTTTAATGAATCTCTGTATTTCTTTGTTCATTATTCTAAACAAAATAGCTGTGGGAATTATTTGGCTTTTTCCCCTTGCTGTGTTGGTTCTAAATCAGACCATATGCTTACTCTCAATTTTTTTAAAAACCAGTATCTTGTAATTTGCCTGAGCATTTTTACATTTCTGAAGTATTTGGAAAGAATTTTGTATACTTCTTCCAAAACAGAAAGAGAAAGAGAGGGAGGGAGGGAGGGAGGGAGAGAGAGAGAGGGAGGGAAGGAGGGAGGGAGAGAGAGAGAGATATTTCTCTTTGACAAATCCTGTTACTTTAACTAAGATTCAACAACTTTGCTGATTATTTATATTTTGCATTATTGAAGGATGGGTGGGGAATCCTTTCCTTCCTTCCTGTAGCTTTGAAGACATAAAGCCTTCTACTTTACATGTTTTATTATTTTAATGTCATTTCTATGTTTGAACTGCAGGTGGCACTGGGTACAACTGATATGTTGCTTAAATTTAAATATATGAAGTGAATATTCGATTCTGTATTAATACAACAAATGGTTCATGCGATAAAGAACTTTGAGCACAATTAACAAATTATGGTAGCTGAGTGTGGTTGAAAAGGGCTTCAACCTTCTTATGCTGACCTCTCTATAGATGTGGAAAAATTGAGAATGGAAAGGGCATAGATGTGGCAGGCATTTCTGGTTTCCTTTCAATGCTTTGTACATTTGAATGCTTGAAGGAAGCTATTGCTTCTGCTGATTTTCTCTTGTTATTCTGCCTGATTCTCCTCTCAGTTATCTGGGAGAAAAGACATAATTATATATATAATGGCTAGATAGAATATTTTATTGGCCAAGTGTGATTAAACACTTGGAAACTTATATATGTATTCATTTGTCTTATAGTGACATAAATGGGCTGAAGCTGTTAAAAATTGTTTAGATCTGTCCATTATTCTGTTTCCCTCTGTCTGCAAAAAAGTTTTAGAAACGCCAAAGATCATACAGTCACAAAATGATGTGAAATTCTAGTCTTTCCTTAGGAATGGAAGCTGGCTGGTGACCTTGGGACAATTATTCTACTTCACTTCACCTCACCTCATCCCACCTCACCTTACCATGTTGCTGTTGTGAGGAAATTAGGATGCAGGAACATTACCACTTTGAATTGTACTAAATAAAGCTGGGATGTGATGATGATGGTGATGATGATGTAAGATTTGGGATAATTTTATATGTTTATTTGCAAAAAGCTTATCTCTGCTTCATGGAGTTGCTATCAAATAAGCATGCAAAGACCTGAATCCAATCTGATTTGAATGTTTGTTGAGTTTCAGTCTTAAAAAATAATAATGAGAGGAGCTTCTGTAATTGTTAACCTTCCATAATGAATCTACAGAGGATTAAAATTGGTCTGAAAAGATGGTTCAAGAGATACAGAATGGAATATTATGTGTAGTTTTAAAAACTTAAATCACACTGTTTCTGCCAGTCTATTCTTAAATATATCCCTGGATATCAATATCACCCTCTAAATTTTTGTTTTCATTGTTCGTGCAGTTATAAAATAGTGTATAAAGTGTACTCAAAAAGCAATCCCAATGAGTTTAGCAGAAATTACTCTGTGTTATGCATAATGGACTGCAGCCATTGGCATCCTCTCTGATTTGATGGTGGGAAGAAAGAGGACAGACGCAATTGCCCTCGACTACATAAAAAGAAATCAACAAGCTCTTGTAATTCAATTCCTTGTTTTGTTTTTCCCTCCCCTGTAGCTGCTGGCATTTCTGCAAGGGCTGTTCACGTTTTACCATCATGGCTATGAGCTTGCAAAGGATTTCAGTGATTTCAAGACAGAGCTGACAATCAGTATACAAAATGTAAGCAGAAACACTTATTGAAGATCAAGGTTCTCTTTCAAGTGTTATTCCGCAACTTTTTGCCCAAGCATATTTTGCTATGTTTATGTTAAGAAAAGGGGCAGCGTGGTGGCTCAGCAGTTAAAATGCTGGGCTTCTTGACTGGAAAGCCAACAGCCCAGATTCCAGACCTGAGTGCTGCATTTTGGGGTGAGCTTCCATTCTTGCCCTAGCTCCTAGCAGTTGGAAAGCAAATGTGAGTAGATAAATAGGTATCACTTCAGTGTGAAGATAACAGAGCTCTGTAATGTCACACTGGCCACACAACTGCAGAAACATCTTTGGACAGTGCTGGCTCATTGGCCTTGAAATGGAGATGACCATTGCCCCCTATAGTTGACTACAACTAATGGAGTAAAATCCGCAGGGACTCCTATGTTAATAAAAAGTTTAATTTGTATTAATTTGTATAACTATAAGCAAATCCCTCCTCCTCCTCCTCCTCCCCTTCCTCCTCCTCCTCCTCCTTTGGTGGCTGGTAAGCTTGTTACTGCACTCATAACATGTGCACCAGCCTGCCACTTGTGTGATCCAGTTCCCTCCCCTCCCAAGCTGGGCCACCAAGCCGCAAATGTTGGGGACCGCTGCTCTAGTGAGCCACTGTTAGTTGCTACTACTAATATTAGACTAGTCTAACAGGTATAAGGCAAAATCTTATGCTTCTGCTCTAACTGAACCCTATGTGTACCTGTAGCTTTCTGTTCTGAGAAAACAAACAACTAATTAATATGCATCATAAAGATTGATATATACAATGGATATATGGCAACATTGGCTTAAAACATGCTGCTTTCACTTCAGTTGAATTAAGTTGTGAGTCAAATGCATGTGTGAGGCTTTCCATATATATGTTATTTCCAGTGGTGGGTTCCAGATTCCGTTCCAACCAGTATGGGATGCGCCGTGCACAGAAACGCAGAAGTCTTAAAAGACCGGTAAGGAGCTCGGGCGGGCAGGGGGGGCCCTCCAGAGCACCATACTGGAACGGTATCCGGTGTTCTGGGCTGGCTCCAGTACGCTCATACCAGGACGTACTGCCTGCAACCCACCACTGGTTATTTCTAACTAGTAAAGTTATTAGACATATGGCAACCCACCTTAGGCAACAGATTTTGTTGCTATGAAAAACCAACAAGCCATTGGTTACCTGCTAATTCAGAATTGTTGCACATCTTCTGATTTAGCGATGACATTCTTGAAGATTCTTCTGTCTCATATTACTAAAGAATCTGGTTGGTATGGGTCTTCTTCATTTGCAGTTATGCTTCAGGTAGCATTCATTCTTGGGCCAGTCTTATTTCTCACATAACCTGAATATCCCAAAGGTGCTTCCACCCCACCCACCCCGCTCAAAGAGGCAACTGGACATTCTGGTTTTTCTTTGAAGACGTTTCGCTTCTCATCCAAGAAGCTTCTTCAGCTCTGATTGGATGGTGGGGAATGAAAGGATTTATACATTCCCCATCATCCAGCTAGAGCTGAAGAAGNAGCCGCACTGCTTGGATCTGCACGCATATTACGAAAATACGTTACGACGTCCTAGGCCCCTGGGTGGGGCCCGACTAGTAACCAATGCCAAATCCGACGAAACAACTGGTCGCTGTGATACAACTGTATAATAATAAAAATAATAATAATAATGAGCTAGGTATAGCTCCAAGTTTTTTCTTTTCTGCTCCAAGGCATTGCACCTTCTACTTCTATTTCGTTGCTATAACAACCTGAGGTTTCTGGTTAAGATAGATAATTTCCTGCCAGTTTCCTTTTTATTCAGCAGTTTTCCATACAAAATTCTCCACTGCTTCTTATTTCTGGAACACTTAGGAGTGACACCAAGGCAGGAATAAAATTGTAGGAGGCATTGGAATTAATCCACTTAGCATTTGCAATAAAAGCTATTACTATGTCTGTAGTAATAATTATGGCAAATATTCTACTATTCTGGCACCTGCATGGAAATTATTCTGACTCTGCTATATACTTCATCAACCTGGTGCCTTCTGTGTAGTTTTGTCTTCACCGTCTGCACTACCATGCTAAGGTTCCCCCTGAGGTCACCCCACTACATATGTTTCAAAGGATCTTGAAGACCTGGCTTTTGCTGAAGCTAGTGTGATTGAAGCCCTCTTTTTTTGTTCCTTTTTGGGTTTATTATCTGCGGCATCTTCGCTGCCGGAAGACTCGGCAGCGGATCTTTGGAGTTTGGAAGCCAGTTATGCTTGGAGCACGGAGGTGGCGACAGCGCACCAGTGCCCTAGCCCTGCAGGGAGAGCTGGGCCAGGGCATGGTGAGGCTGGGAGGCACGCAAGCTGGTGGCAGAACAGGTGCTCGCGCAACCTCCCTTTCCAGCTGGGCAGAGCGCCACACGGCTTAGCGCCTTTGGGATATTACTGGGTTGGTGAGTGGCATTCTGCCCGACTGGAAAGGGGGGTTGCCAGGCAGCTGCTCATGAGAGCAGCCCTTGGCAACCCCCTGCTTCAGCTGGGCACAGCACCACTCACCAACCTAGCAGTATCCCAAAGGCAGCAAGCAATGTGAGCGCCTTTGCCCCCCTCTTCCCACGGCTCCTGTGGCTTGGTGCCTTCGGGATATCGTTAGATTGGTGAGTGATATTCTGCCTGACTGGAGGGTGTGTGTGTCCAGGGGCTTATTATCGGGGGAGGGCATATATTTTTGCCCACAGGAAAATATGGCATGGTCTTATTATCAGGACATGTCATAGTTTCGGGAAAACACAGTAGGTAATATCAATGCCACTGTTCAGGTTACTTAGTTGGGTAATGAAACAGCTGCAAGCAAACGACCCAAGAGCAAAAAGAGCAGCAAGGACACAACAAATAAAAATATATCCCTTATCAGTATCCTTGAGGATGATGCAACAGAGGGAGACATAAAGTTTTGAATCACAGACTACTCATTTATATTACAAATATTTGGAAATATGTGTGTGTGTGTTTATGTCTCTGCATGATTATTGCAATATTATTGTTTTCATGGTTTCTTATGTGGTATATTTTGACAGGAAGCCAGAAAGAAGTATGACAAGGAGACTGAGAAATACTGTGGAATATTAGAAAAGCACTTAAATTTGTCTTCTAAGAAGAAAGAATCTCAACTTCAAGAGGTGAGATTGGCTGTTTTGTTTGCTTGCACTACCAAGCCAAAAGTTTATTTATTGTTGTTGAATGAAAGGCTTAAAGTTGCACTTTTAAGTATGTATGTTAAGAAGCAAGTTTATTTTGGAGCTCTTTAAATTTTCTCTAAAATTCCAGGTTAGAGTTTACATTGCTTTTAATTAAATCAGCTTTATACCCCGGTCAGAATTGGAATTGTAAGGTAGAGAAAGAATGCTATAATTTTGCTGGCTGAGGAATTCTGTCAGTTGAAATCCACACATCTTAAAGTTGCTGAGGTTGAGAAACATTGCTCTCTAGACCATCAAGATGACAATTTTAGCCACACTGCTTTTCTAATTCCCTGTAAAACTGTGTAATACTTGAATACTGGTGCCATCTTGTGGTCCATATTTTATATTAAAGTTTGCTATTTTTCTCTATAGAGATTTGAGCTGTATCCTCCCCTTCTCTCCCCCCCCTTTCCTTACCTTTGATTTCAAACATAAATCACTGCCTTTAGAGATGCAGAGTTCCTTCCCTTTTGGCTTTTATTACCTTTGTCCAAAATAAAAATCTCTTCACTGCCTAGATCTGTATTTTCTTCAAGCACTGGGATTTTGAGTGAGGGAGCTAAATGATTGCAGCTTTACAACAGGAGGCTACAAGATTTCAAGTGTTAATTGGCCAAAGGTTAGGTCATCAGTTGGATTTTGAGAAGAGGATGATGGTCAGATTAGGGGCAAATGCAAATGCAAGGGCTTGTTGGTTGCAATAATTCTAGCTGTGTGCATTTTGATTTTCATGAAGAACACCCAGCTACTTCATAGGTGTGTTGTTATTGTAGTATAGTTAGACCATGTGTAATTGATAGACTGGATTTTATTAAATATTTTATCTGTTATTTATTATTTTAGTCTAGAATTTTAGATTGGAAATTCACCCAGTGTTTTTATTTGTTCTGGTCTGTGGTCTATGACTGTAATAACCTGAATTGAATTGAGTAAGTGTGTTACTTATCAGATAACATGCTACATTTCGAACAGCATCCATGGTGCTTAAGAAACAGGAAGGGTCTCAAAACTTGAGTGATTCCATATGCCATTGAGCAGGGGTGTCAAACTCACGTCGTCATGGCAGTGTCAGATGACGTATAAGGGCTTTTTTCTCCTTCACTAAACCTGGTGTGGGTGTGGCCAGTGCATGATGCATCCAGCCCCCGGGCCGGGAGTTTGACAGCCCTGCCATAGAGCTTTAAAGAATATTAGGAATCTGAAAGTTGTAACTTGAGTAGTTTCATAAACATATCATGTGTGAGCTTCTTCCAGAAAGGCTGGGACTAAATCTTACCCATGCAATTAAAGATGAATAATTAACAATCAGCACATAATATAATTGTGTGAAATAAAGTTTTTACCGCCCAACATTATATTGCTGGTAGTGAACTAAAGTCCTATATAGGTACCAGAGGTGTTATTCAGCAGGTTTTGACCAGCCCTGGGGAACCGGTAGCGGAAATTTTGAGTAATTCAGAGAACCGGTAAATGCCACCTCTGATTGGCCCCGCCCCATCTATTCTCTGCCTCCCAAGTCCCAGCTGATCGGGGGGGGGGGGAAATGGAGATTTTACAGTATCCTTCCCCTGCCATGCCCATCAAGCCATGCTACACCCACCAACCCACGTCCATAGAACTCATAGTATGAGTACTATTTTTTTTAATCCAACCACTGATAGGTATTTTGATCTAAAGCTCTTTCTTAAGAAACATATTATGTCTGTGGACTTCCTTTTGTTAGTCTCAGATGAATTTTAAAAACTCTTCTAGATCAGAGGTGGGTTGCTATCGGTTTGCACCAGTTCAGGCGAACCGGTAGTGGTAATTAGGACTGGGTCGCAGAACCGGCAGTTCCCTCAGTCGCCGCTGTCATTGCCAGCATATTTTTTAGGCATGCTGGTGTGTTTTTAGCAGCGTGCGCAGTTCATAGTAAATTGTTCTGCACATGCGCGAAGGGAATCAGCAGCAATGCCGGTAGGAACCCACCCCTGTTGTACACATTTTCTTGTATGCAAAGAACAGAAATAAAGATCACCTTGTTCCTGTTCTTTCTTAGAAGTCTTTTACATAAGAACTTGTCCAGATAATTATGTTTAGGTCCATAGTATTCCAACTCTCTTTTCTTTGAGTACTATCTTGATTTTTATTTTCCATATTTTTTATTTTGACCATTCCCATCTTTCTCAAATAGTAAAAAAGACTCAAAATAAAACTGATCACATTACACACACACAGAAACACACACAGAAACACACACACACACACACACACACACACACACACAAATTAAGAATAAGAAAATAACCACTTATTCTTCGACCAGTAGT